AAATTCCAAAAAAAAAAAAAAAACAGACCATGTAAACCAATCTAATAATCCAAAAATATGAAGGTGATCAATTAGTTAGTTTTTCTTATTCACAATTTCACATGATCATTTTCTTCTAAACAAGTAGGTGAAAGAAGAGCGACATGGAGCCATGGAGCAATCTCAGTGACAAGGTGATCATGGTGACGGGGGCATCCTCTGGCCTAGGCCGGGAATTCTGTCTCGACTTGGCCAAAGCCGGCTGCAGGATAATCGCAGCCGCTCGTCGAGTGGACCATCTGAAGTCACTCTGTGATGACATCAATCGCCTCACCCCTCACTCTTCCAATGGTCCTGTAGCCATAGCGGTGGAGCTTGACGTCTCGGCAGCAGGGCCTACAATTGAGAAGGCCGTGCAGCAGGCTTGGGAGGCATTTGGGAGAATTGATGCTTTGGTTAACAATGCTGGTATTAGAGGCGGCACGAATTCTGCCTTGGCTTTGTCGGAGGAGGAGTGGAATCAAGTTATAAATACTAATCTAAGAGGGTCGTGGTTGGTATCAAAGTATGTCTGCATGCGTATGCGTGATGCCAAACATGGAGGGTCAGTCATCAATATTTCTTCAATTGCTGGACTTGATCGTGTGCAAGCATTTGGGGTCCTTGCGTATGCCTCTTCAAAGGCAGCTCAACACGCGATGACTAAGGTAATGCATAAATTTAAATAATTTAAAATTTTAAGGGTTCTCATCAAAATCAAAAGAATTTCGTTTTGGCCCATTCAATTCATCGATTTGATTAGTAATTAAACTACTAATCAAGTTTTTAATAATTAGACTACTATTATTCAAATTGCATTTATACTGTATATTTAATTATTGTAAATGTTTACTTTATTTTTATTTTTTATCAGTAAAATTCAAAATAATTCGTTATTCTTATATTTTATAATGAGACTGTTTTTTTTATATAAAAGTATCAATCAATAAAGTATTACTTTTTTCTATACTCTTCTTTGCTTTTAATTTCTAATTTAGTTGTATATATGTCTATAAACAGTGTCTTGTATATATTGTGTAAATCAAGAAAGCAATGTTTATCTCCATATACATAAAAGTATCAATCAATAAAGTATTACTTTTTTTTATACTCTTCTTTACTTTTAATTTCTTATTTAGTTGTATATATGTCTATATACAGTGTCTTGTATATATTGTGTAAATCAAGAAAGCAATGTTTTTCTCCATACTCTTCTATGCTTTAGTTTCTAATAAGCTAATTGAGCTTGAACTTAAATACTCCAAAGATATTGGAGCTAGCTCGAATGAAAACTAAGAATATTAATTAATGGCAAAATTTATATTCAGGTGTTGGCCTTGGAGTTGGGTGCACATAACATCAGAGTGAACGCAATAGCACCAGGATTTTTCAGATCGGAGATTACAGAAGGTCTGTTTAAGAAACAGGAGCTAAGTAACTTTGTTGCGAAAGTTGTCCCTCTAAGGAGTTTGGGCACTACTGATCCAGCCTTAACTTCCCTTATCCGATACCTAATCCATGATTCTTCAGCGTATGTCTCAGGGAACATTTTCGTTGTTGATGCTGGTACCACATTGCCTGGTGTTCCCATTTTCTCTTCCCTCTGAACCAGTGTTCGTTATGTTTTGAACAATTATGTATGTTCTAGAATTGTTTAACATTTAGGAAATTATATTGTAATAATTAATCATTAATGAATAAGGATAAACAACGTTTAGACAAGGCATGTTATATAAGCATGTGATGCTTCCGATAATACTGTAAAATGTTAGATGTATATTGTATGTGATACTCCCTCAATAATTAAACATTTGAGAATAATTTATATGTTTAATTATATTATACTTAAAAGAAAGGATTAAAACAGATTTTTTGTAATAAAATGATTTAGAAGAATTAGTAGTACATTTTTTAATTTAACATATTTCACAACATCTGTCGATTTAGTTATTAAATTTTGTAACTTTTAATTTTTTTGCTTTTAATTTAAATTTAAAAAATAATTTTTTAATAAATATGTTATAAGATAAGTTAAATTAGATGGTATATCAATCATTATCTAATAATTAATTAAAGAAAATAAATAATAATAATGTTAAATAAAAAAAGATATTTAGTTATTTTAAAAAATAAAAACACG